GAGTGGATGGAGGTGGATGGGCAAGCAAAGAGGTAAACATGGTACTAAATCAGAGCTAGCTTGGAGACAGCAGCACTGGCCTGTTGTTGATGAGAGAGAAGCAGAAGAAGGCAGACAAGTGCGAGGAGCATTGGGAAGGCTTCCAAGCAAGCACAGGGAAGCCCTGGCTTTAGGATTTTAGGCAGTCAGTGTCACCTGTGACAGTACGGACTGAGCATTTCCAGGTTCTTGGCCTCTTATTCAAGAATAAAATAAAGCCCATAGAGATGGCAAGTAGTGAGGATACTTTATTCAAATTAAGGCGATAGAAACAGGTTAGAATATTGCTGCAAGACAGCAGCAAGCCACATGAATGAAGACACTCAAGGGCCCCAAGTTATTGCCTGAGTTCTCTTTATGAGGTCTAAAGAAGGAGGGGCTGTTACTAAGAGACTTCATATTTTGGATGGTTCTCCGTATTGATAGATTAGATAGTATAATATTTTTTCTGCTGCACATGTCACTTCCCTATATCTGATTTTAGTTATATGTACTTCCAGTTCTGCATAGGTATAAAATGGTAGATAAGAAACTGTCCCTAAAAATTCACCTGAGATTTTTTTTTTTGCCCTATTGTACCAACTGGTTCTTATACCTGGGCTCAAAGAGAGCAGGATTAACTGGTATCTGTCTGAATTTGACCATTGTCAAGGGAAGGAGAAACCCATTTAGTTGTTGGGAGAGAAGTAGTATGTGTGAGTGGACCAATGCAGGTGGGTTACTACCAGGTTTCCAGGTATGGTGTTCAGAGAGGTGTGTGTATGTGTGCATAGTATAGGCAGGTACATGTCTCAGCTCCCAGGTACATAGTTAGAAGAGGTGGGTGTGTACAGCTTGTACCAAGTGGAGTCCCAGGTTACTAAACTATCCCCTATGCTTGCTTGTCTCAATAGATGAGTGTTGGGAAAAGTTCTCTGACAGGGAAAACTTCAGTGCAGCAGCTGAAAGCAGGCATTAGGGAGCTTGTCTTTTCTTGAACATCAAGTCTGAGCTGTAGGGAGGAAGGATCATGAGCTGAGAGTGGAGGAGCTGACAGGCAGTGACAGGGCCCAGGAGAAAGTGAGAAGGAAATCCCCAAGATGTGGAAGTGTAGCGATGAGTTATGGTGCTGTGCTTCTGAGGACCTGGAGTCTTGCAGATTCAGTCTTTCTAAGGAGTTACCAAGTCTCAATAAATCTTAAGTGTGCTTCATCTAATGCCGAGGACTGGGTGAGTGTTCTGCATAAACTGTATTTACCAGATCGTAAAGATATGTTTACAGGGAGCTGGGCATGGAGGAACATGCCTATACTCCCAACACTCAGAAAGTTAAGGCGGAGGTTGTGAATTCAGGGGACAGTTTGTTCTTTATAGAAAGTTCGCAGCCAGCCTTAGCTATGATCAGGACCCTGCCATGCTCCTCTGCTCAGTATGCCTAAGGTCACATTCTAGAGCGCTATTTGTGGCCTTTGATTCCTATCTTGGTCTTCAGAGCTGCCCATGATGTTTTGCTGTTGTTTTGTTTGTTATTGTTGTTGTTTTGGGACAGGGTATCTCTGTGTAACCCTGGCCGTCCTGGGACTCACTCTGTAGACCAGGCTGGTCTGGAATTCACAGGGATCCGCCTGCTTCTGCCTCCTGAGTGCCACCACCACCCAGCAACTTGATGATTTCTAATGCCTTGTAAAATATTATGGCAGAAATTTCAGTTTCTCTAAAACATAAAAACAAAACATAATAAAAATCAAATAAACCAGATATTTTTACTTTTTTTAAATTGTGTGGTGTGTATATGTGGTTGTGGAGGCCAGAGGAGGACATTGGGTTTTCTGCTCTATCACTCCACTTTTTCTCCCTGAGATGGGGTCTCCATTTAACCTGGAGTTCACCAGTGTTGCTGACTGGCCTGCCTGTGAGCTTCTAGTGTCCATCTGTCTGCCCCCTAGTGCTGGAGTTGGAGCTGTGTGTGACCATACTCAGGTTTCTAAGTGGAATCTGGGGGTCCCAACTCAGCAAGTGCTTCCACCGCTGAGCCCTTTCTCGAGCCCCTGGCTTTGACAAGGGAGAATAATATATGACAGATACTATATGACAGATACTACTTGTGGCTTGAAGTTTCTAAAATACTTACTTCCTAGCTGCTTTCAGGAACGCTTCCAGGCCCCAGGTGTGGCTGGTGCAGCATCACTTGACAAGTGATCCTCAAAGCGAAGCTCAGATGCTTCCACTAGTGGGAGGCAGCCCATTTCCCATCTGGTCCGCTCAGGCAACGTTAGTCATTTTGGGTTTCTGATCAAATTGTCATATGGTGTGTCGTCTGGGCACTGGCCTTGAGTGATACTTACTGTGTGTCATATGAGCACTGGCCTTAGGTGATGTCTTACTGTGTCACTGTGCATGGGCCTTGAGTGAAGACAAGAGGACATGTTTCATGTCAGCATTTGTCACGCATCTTCTGTACTCCAGGCACTGTGCTCCAGGGTTACAAGCTGTGGCTGCTCTTGCAAAGGCCCTGGGTTTGGTACCCAACACCCACATGGTAGCTAACAACTGGAGCTACAGCTCCAGTTCCAGAGGCTGCCCTCTTCTGGCCTCACTGGACACCTGTACACTCATGACAAATACACACACACACACACACACACACACACACACACACACACACACACGCACGCACACGCACGCATATAAATAAAAACTAAAAAGAATCTTAAAGATTCAGTTTTAAGCAATTTTCAGTCTTTAACATCTGTTTTTGCACCAGGTGTGTACAGGTGGTGGTGGTGCATGTCTTTGATCCCAGCACTTGTGTGGCAGAGACAGGTGGATATCTGTGAGTTTGAGGCCAGCCTGGTCTACAGAGTGAGTTCCAGGACAGCTAAGGCTGCATAGTCTGACCATGTCTCTGAAACCAAAAAGAAAAAAAATTGTTTTTGTTTTTTATTTGCTTTCTTTTCTTTTTTAATTTTTTTTTTTTACAGCAGACAGAATTCTCTAGAGGAACAGAGCAGATTGAATGAATATATCATTTATATGAGATTTATTAGAGTAGTTTCCAGGCTCTGATCCAGCTAGTTCAATGGTGTCTACCAATGGAAAGTCTAGCAATCGGGTAGTTGTTCAGTCCAGGAGGCTGGATGTCTCAGCTGGTCTTCAGTATATTCTGGAATCCCAAAGAAATAAGGCTCTAATGCCTGTGAAGGAATGGGCTTGCCAGTGAGAGCGAGGGCAAGCAGGCAAAGAGCAAGAGCCTCCTTCTTCCCCGTCCTTTACACAGGCTGCCTGTGGAAGGTGTGGCCCAGATGAAAGGTCTGGATTAATTTAATTAGGAAATTCCCTCACAGGTGTACCCAGCTGCTTGGATTTCAGTTAATTACAGATGTAGTCACATTGACAACCAAGAATAGTCATCACAGATAATCTCCATCTTTTAAAAAATCTACAGAATTCTTCCATCTGACATAGTTGCCAACATCTTTCTCCTCCCATCAGTGGGAGCACAGGGTGACGGGATGCTGGTGTAATCAGCTGTGATGGCATTCCTGACAGTGCTGGGTAATTCCTGACACAGGCAAAGCCTACCCTGTCCAAGACTCATGCATCACCAAGCTTGTCCACCTGGCCATTTGGTTTGGACAGAAAGAAAACTGCTCTTATTTTTCCTTATTTCTATATTGCTGTTCCAGATACACAGTGCCAAGTTAGAAAGACTCAGAGACTATACAGTGACTGGTGGTAGCCTGCCCCTGCCCCTGGCCCTCTGCCTCCTGCTCCTCTCCTACCCCTTCCTGCCTCCTATCCCTATCTGTCTCTCTGCCCACAGTTCTCTTCCTGCCCCTGCCTCTTTTCCCTTGACTCCTGTCCTTCACTTCCTGCTCCCTCTTCCTGCCCCTGCCTCCTGCCTTCTTGTGTCTTTCTCTTCCCATCCTCCTCCCTAGATTCTTTCTCTTGGTCATTTTGGGCACTCAGTGACACCTGAGCTCCCACATGTCTTTGGAGATGACTCCATTGATAAAACTGTACAATTAGCACCAGGGCTGGGTGGTAAATGAAGCCTTGGGGGTTGTGTTGCCCAGCTGCCTCTTTCATCTTGACTGTTTTCACTGCTGGGATTCTTGTCTGTTACTTGTCAAACCCTCATCAAAACCATCAAAGCCTGTCTTCTTTCACCAGAAACAACACAGTGCCATCTTGGGAGACTTGGGTTTGACTCCCCATCAGTCTTGGTGCCTGTGTCTGGACACAGTGTCCATGTGGGAATGACATAGCCGTTCAACTTCTAAGAGGCTGAGGTCTCTGGGGCTCTGTCCAGAGCTGTGGAACCTGGATTTTTAGGAGGAATGGGAGGGGGCCAGAGATAGGCATGACTGACTCCACACCTGGGAACCCTTGCTCCTCCAGGTCCCCTGCATGACATTTCCTACATCTTCCCTTCCAGCTTAGCCACCACTATGGTGTTACATGGTATTAGGTTCCTCAGAGGTCTAGCTAGTCCTAATGCTTACAGCAAATTCCTCCTCCTATGTTACTGTCATTGCTACATCCTCCTGTCACACAGTGAAGCCCAGATATATCCTCTTGTAAAGTAAATAGGGTCTTGTAGTCTACTCAGAATTTCTCAAAAATCCAAATAAGCCAGAGAATGTTTGAAGCCTGTGCCTTTCATACTCTAAGCACACAGTTTATTGCCTTCAGGGTTTTTTTTTTTTTTCTAGCACCTTCCCAACAGCTTTATTGAAGTGTAACTGACATTACAAATGGTCTCTTGCCTTCTAAGTGGTCAAACTAGTGACCTTTCTTCTCCTTTCCTTTTTCCTTTTCTCCCCTTCCCTTCCCTTCCCTTCCCTTCCCTTCCCTTCCCTTCCCTTCCCTTCCCTTCCCTTCCCTTCCCTTCCCTTCCCTTCCCTTCCCTTCCCTTCCCTTCCCTTCCCTTCCCTTCCCTTCCCTTTTTCCTTTCCATCTCTGGGATCCTCTGACCCCAGTAAAATCTCAGTGCCCTCAGCAGGTAATCAGAAGGCGCTGGGAAAATCAGTGGAGCCTGACTGATCTTCAGGAGGAAGTCCGGAACAGCTGACCCCTTGAGAGTTTCTGTGAGTTGCATTTGTGCTGCTGTCTGCTCCGGGGTCAGTCTTCTCTTATTCTAGGCGATGGCTCTGGCCTGGGCAGTTTCTGCCCTGTTTGTTTTGCCTGTGTTGGAAAGAGATCAGCATGCAAATGAGAATCCAGACACTGGTTGTTGGTTAGCCTACAGAGAATGGTGGATCAAATGAAAGTTCTGAAAACGGGTTCTTTCCATCGAGGCCCAGCAGCACAGGGAGGGTAGGGGGACTGAAGGGAGAGAACTTAGGCACCTGCACCACTGACCATGCCTGATTGGGCATGGTCACGGGAATGTAGTAGGAACTGCAGATAAGAACTTGGGAAAAGGAGGTGCACACTCTCTTGGGGCCACAATCGTGACTGGAGATCAGAGTGTGCTGATCCCAGTTCTCGGCTTCTCGTGTAAGTGACCTCTCTCTCTCTCTCTCTCTCTCTCTCTCTCTCTCTCTCTCTCTCTCTCTCTCTCTCTCTCTCTCTCAAATAAAGTATACTACTACCTACCCCCTTTTCCGGTATCCTTGGCGTGGCTCGTGGCTCGCTTTACCATCATTAGGGGGCTTTGAATCCAGCAGGCATGTTTCCTTTCTGTCATTTCCTTACTATGTGATTGAGCCAAGTTACTTAACCTCTCTGCCTCATTTACTGGTCTTTAAGGGAAATAATGTAACCACTACTGGGTTGTCATGGGAAGGGCGTGTACAATGTTTAGTGTAGTGCTTAGTGCTTGGCAAGATGAGCATGGGGAGAACACTTTCCAGTGGCCATCGTGAGTTTTCGGGGAGATAATTTAGTCAGCAAAGATCATGAGGACCCGAGTTTGCTACCTAGAACCCATGTGAAAATATTGGGCATAGGCCAGCAAGGTGGCTCAGCGGTGTGAAGGCACTTGCTCCCAAGCCTGCCGACCTCAGTTCAATTCCGGAACCTACAAGGTGAAAGGAAAAGAGATTCCTGCAAATTGTCCTATGACTTCCTTGTGCATGGCACGACATGCTTGCACACCCCATCTCTTATTTAAAAATAATGTAAAAATAAATGCTTGGCACAGTGGCGAGTATGTCGTCGAAATGCTAGGGCAGCAGAGACAAGAGGACCCCTGGGGCCCCAGTCATTCTAGGGCAATGAGCTCCAGGGCAATGAGGTGGGCTTGTTCTTGAAGATGACCCCTGGAGTTGTCCCCTCATCTCCACACACATACTCCTGTGCACCCATGCCTACATGTTTTTTAAAAGGCATCCCATGCTGTAATGGGAGCTGTGGGACCAGAAGCCACTGCATCTTCATAGCTGTGGGTGTTAACAAGAGCTGGATAAAGGACTCTAAGTGATGAGAAGGGATTTTCCCAGCAAAGAGAGGGAAGGTTTCTTAAGAATTCTGCAAAGGCTTCAGGTCGGAAAACAGCAGCCATGCCAGCATCTCCAAAGCAGCACCAGGTGTCCTGCTATCTCCTGGCCACTGGGTAGACTTGCAGGCTCTTGACCACCAACCTTGTTCTTTGTCCCTTGTAAAGGAAGAACACATGGGACTCAGGCAACTCAATTATTTAAAAAGATTTGTTTCTGTTATTTTATCTGTGTTTGTACATGAGTACAGTGCCCTCAGGACATCAGATCTCCTTGAATTACAGACAGTTGTGAGCTGTGATGTGGGTGCTGGGAACTAAACTTCAGTCCTCTGTAAAAACAATACATGCTCTTACCACTGAGCCATCTCTGCAGCCTCACACTCCTCATTTTTTCTGAAGCTTGCAGAGAACCAGATATGGGGGTGTACACCTATAATCCCAGCACTCTTGCTGCTCAGGCAAGAGGATCAAAGGTCTGGACAACCTGGGCTATATCGTGAGATGCTGGATGAGCCTTTGCCTGATGCATTATATTGTCCTTTGTGATCAATGAGACTCACCAGTTCTATAGGAAAGGCATTATTTTTTCTCGGTTTCCCAAGTCCTGTTGAAAGTGTTCGTTTCATGCACACTGGAGCTCTGGTGTCCAAGCATACCTTTAAGTAGACAGAGCGTACTGAGCCTGCAGAAAGCAGCTGTCCCTGGGGCATCCAGCAGCAAAGTGACCTAGCCTAAGCCATGGGGACACAGGCAGCTCCTCTCCTGTGGTGACTCAGAGTTCACAGCCTGTTCCCAGTCTAGCAATTTTCTGTTAAATTGCATTTCAGAGAGTTATAGGCATTAAAATCTAGTGTACATAAGATCATCCAGTCCTGCCCTTTGTCCTTACTCTTTAAGGGCCTTGAACTCACAGAGATCCTTCTGCCTCTGTTCCCTGTGCTGGAATTAAAGGCATGTGCCACCACACCAAACCCCTTTTTGCTTTGTAATTAGTAATGGATATTTATTGTACACATTAATGGTTTACTGTGCCACCTCAATGCATGCAGATGTTGTGCTTTCCTTAAGATGTGCTCTTACCCTCCCCTCCCCCATCCCTTCCACCTCTTACCCTTCCTTTCTTCCTTCCTTCCTTAATAGTCTTTTTTCTTTGTTTTAATTCTGGTTTTTGCAGATAAGAGGAAACACGTGCTATTTGTCTTTCTCTCCTTTAACAGGATGACTTTTAGCAAATGGCCTGATTTCATTCTTCTCTATAGCTGACTAACACTCCATTGAGTGTCTATTCCATTTTTCTTTAGCCAGTCATCTGCTGAAGGGCCCTTAGGTTGATTCCAGAGATTGATCAATGTGTACAGTGTTGTGATAAGCTTAGGCATGCTGATGTCTCCTGTATATAAGGTCTTAGAGCCCTTTGGGTGTATGCCCAAGAAGCAGTATAACTCAGTTACTTGCTAGTTAGCATTTTAGGGTCTGAGGAACCCCATACTATTTTTCATAATGGCTGAACTGCTTTTATTTCTACCAACAGCGTATAGGGTTCCTTTTCCCTAAGTCCTTGACAGCATATGTTGTTGCTATGATGATTTTTGATTGTCAGCTATTCTGACAGATAGAATATCAGTGTATTTTTATTTGGATTTCCCTAATGGCAAAAGATATGAACATATGTTTTTATATATTTATTGTCTGCCATACTCTGTTGAGAACTGTCTGTTCAGTTTGTTTGCCCATTTGATGATTGAATAACTTGTTGATTTTACTGAAGTTGTCACATATTCTGAATAATGAAGCCTTTGTCAAATGCATGGCCTGTGAAGTTCTCCTGTTTGGTATGCTCCACTTTCAGTTGGATGCTCTTTAATTTGATGTAGCCCATATGTCAGCTCCCAAGGACCAAAAGTGAATCATCACCTCAACTAATGCAGAAAATAGCATTTATAAATTCAGAGTATCCCCCTCAATAGAAAGCCTGAGAAATCAGACATGGAGCTATTGCAGCTTAGAGTGGAAAAGGCAGGATAGGACAAACCCAGGACCTCTGTCAGGCTGAGGAGCAGGAGCTGGCCACAGTGCCTCAGAGAGCAGAAAGGATGAAAAGGGTGCTGTGCCCATGGCTCATTCAGTGCATGGAATTTTAGCCAGAACAGCCACAAAGAGAAAGAAAGGGGTGTAAACAGGAAGAGAGAAGTCAAGTTATCCCTGTTTGCATATGGCAAGAGTCTGTTGTTAGAAAATCCTATGACTCTGCTAAGACTCTTAGAACCCATAAACAAATCTGGCAAGGGAGCAGGGTACAAAAATCAATGCTGAAAAATCACTAGCTTTTCCATGTGCCAGTAATGAGCTCACTGAGACAGAAATGAAAGAAAACAGCTACCATCACTACCATAACAAAATAAAACCATGAATAAATCCAACTGAAGAGGTGAAAGGCCTCTACCATGAAAACTAGAGCAATAAAGAAACTGACATTCTACAATGGAAAGACTAATAGTGTCCATGAGTCAGTATAATTAATACTGTTTTTAAATGGCCACACTACCAGAGCAGTGTTTAGATTGGCTACAGCCCCCAATAAAATACCAATGATATTCTAAATGAAACTAAAAATAATTCTAAAACACATCTGAAGGAAGCTGGGTATGGTACGTGTGCCTGTAATCTCAGCACTGGAAAGGCAGATGCAGGAGGATTGACAGACTGAGGCCATACTGGGCTCAAAATAAAACAAGCTTATGTGGAAACAGAAAAGACTCTGTAGAGTCAGGATAATTCTGAGCAAAAAGAGCACAGTACCTAATTTCAAAATATACTATAGAAGCTGGGCATGGTGGCGCATGCCTTTAATTCCATCACTCAAGAAGCAGAAGCAGGCAGATCTCTTGGTCTACATAGAGAGTTCGAGGCCAGTCAGGGCTACACAATGAGACCCTTTTTAATATATATCATACACATACACACACACACACACACACACACACATACACACTCATACACACACTCATACTTTATTAGAGTTATAGCAAAAACAGCATGACATATTGTTATAAAAACAGTTATATAGATCAATGGGTTAAAATACAAGAACCCAGAAATGAATGCATGTAGCTGTAGCCAATTGATTACTGAAAAAGGCATCAAGATCATATATTGAACAAAAAGACAATGTCTTCCACAAATGGTGATGGGAAAACTGGGCATTGGCATGTAGAAGACAGAAACCCAAACCCTGTTTAACACTGTACAAACATGAACTCAGAGAGCTGGAGAGATGGCTCAGTATTTAAGAGCACTGGCTACTCTTGCAAAGAACCTGGGCTACATCCCCAGTACCCAAGAGGATCCAGTTATCCAAGAGGATAAACAAACAGTGCATAGACAATACACTCAGGCACACAAACATACACATAAAATAATAAATCTTATTTTTTCAATTCCACTTATATCTAAATCCAGAAGCGTTTTTTTTGTTGTTGTTGTTGTTTTTGTTTTTGTTTTTTTAGACAGGGTTTCTCTGTATTGTTTTATAGGCTTTCCTGGAACTCGCTCTGTAGACCAGGCTGGCCTTGAACTCACAGAGATCCACCCGCCTCTGTCTCCCGAGTACTGGGATTAAAGGTGTGCACCACCAACGCCCGTCAG